AGTATTGTAGACAAACCACACTCCATGGTACTGCTCCGGCCCGTTTGGAAGATACTTCAGAAAAACTGTGGTGAGCTAAAAAAAAAACAGGATTTCGAGCAACTCGAGGGGGTGTTGGAACATATATAAACTTTTCCTGGTGTGGCAAGTCCCAGTACTGCTCAAAAGGTACCGAGCTTTACAATCTCATCCAAGATCTTCCCATTTTATTCACACGATTTTCATTTATACCTTCTATTGCCTCACTTTTAGATGTTACATGTTACATATAAACGTTGGCGAACTTGACCATACTAGTACTTATCCTCTTTTATCATTAGGTATGATGACAGATCTTTGTCACTCTCCCACAACAGGTAATTCTATACTGGACAGAGTAATCGCCAATCATCAAACCATTTTTCTTCAGCATTTAGGCAACCACCACCACGACCACTGTTTACCCGTAGTTTGACCTAAAGTTTATTCACACTGTGCTTAAAAATCCTTGTCTCGATCTGACCACATCAGATTTCGTTTTCGAAACTGCACACCCAAGTGTTTACCTGCTCAATGAATCTATCAGGCAGGTCTCTTTATGGTTTTCATCATCTCCTTCTTCCCTAGTCACGTGTGTTTCCCTATTCAACCAAACAATCAATGCCATTTATAATTACTCCTGCCCTGTTCAAAGTCTATATGTGTCCAAGGATAATCTCCTCCCTTATAAAGTCACAATGCTTCAGCTCTCAGGTATTTGTCTAGGTTTATCAAAGCTGAGGGAAACAGATTGAATGCATTATTCTCCGATTGAGAACTGGAAAAAGCAAAAACCTTGGGCAAGGTATCAGATTTACCTGGGGAAGGAAGAAAGTACGGTCGAAGCTGGACGTAGATGATCTCAATGCCGCATTTCTAGGCCAATCATCGGACATTCTTCCTGCCTACTCGTCACACAAAGTTTGTAATGTGGAACCATTCTCATGTTGTGGTGTGTTAAAACTTTTAAAAAGCTGCAATTCACCTTCTGCTGCACGCCCGGATGATTCGCCTCCAGCGCTCTTCAAATTTGGTGCTTGTTAAGGCTGAATTTCAACCGCGACGCTGTGCACAGTAATTTAGGGCCCGTAACCCAACCCAAAAACCAAAACAGACAAGACAGTGCGCGGATCGGAATCGGGTTAACGATTTAATGAATAATCATGAGAGTACATCAATCGATTAAACGATAACCGACAATCAGGTCAATCTGGCGCATGGACAAAACGGATTGGAGGAGTATTAGTCAGTGTCTTTCATGAACAGCTGGGTCACGTGATTGGACGATCAATGGGAACTGATAGACAAATGAGTACGTGGCAGTGCTGCTTCTCTAACTGGGGTAATCAAATCCATTTAAAATGAATCACTTTAAACTTCTACTGCTACTATCCGCGATTTCTGGAGGCTAGTCACAATCGTACCAATCCCCAATGTATCTAGATATTCTATCCTCTCCAAACATTTTCGCCCCATAGCGTTAACATCTTCAGCTCTTAAATTGACTTAAAAACTATCCTCAAACGCCTCCAGCAGTTTATCAACATTCCCAGTGATCCGGTACAGTTTGCCTACAAGCCTAATAGATCCACCTTGGGTGTAGTCTCCACCCTCGTTCATTTCATCGCTAAGTCTTTGAACAGCTCTGTTAAGTCTGTTTGGTATGTTTTTCTGGACTAATTTTCTGCATTTAATTCCATTCCTCGATCTAAGTTGTTACAAAAACTGGAATCCTTTGAATGCTCCAAACAATTGTTAACTAGGTTGTCCAACTTTTGCTGATAGAGTGCAAATCTTTCGATTTGAGAGGGTTTTATCTAAACACTTAGTCAATAACTCCGGCGTTGTTCAAGGAGCTGTGCTATCCCCATTGTTATTTAACGCCAACATTTGTGATATCACTTGTGTCCCCCCCCCCCCCGCNTTGAAATATGCGGCTAACGTTGTGCTGTGCCAACCCATTTCTTCTTACCACGATCTAAGCATCTTCACTGACAATCTTGATCAAATTCAGTCATTCGCCTCCTCACCGGGGCCAAGCTTAAACCCCAGTAAATTTGTTGAGTGTTTATATAGTTTTGCTCGCTTTCCATATGCAACAGACCACACAGTGGTTAGTTATCTAGGGTGAACTCTGTTAAATATCTTGGTGTAACCATAGATAGCAATCTTCATTGGTCAACCCACATCCACAACCGCTTTGGTAAACTGAAGCGCCTATCATTTTAAATTCGAAAACTCAGGCATGTTCGCGCACCCCAGTCAGTTATTGCAACTTTTGTTGATCAGTGTGTTTGCCCTATCTTACTTTATTATTCCCCGGTTACTTTTCCTGGCTTACTCAAACAGGATTTCAAAGTACTACGCCGTGGTTTAACTAATATTAACCGTATTTCTTCTAATCCTGCGAATGTGTTAACTCTGAAGCTTTCAGAATATCACGTTACCTCCTGCATGAAATTTGCGGAGAGGATTCTCACAGATCCTGAACACCCATTGGCACGCAGAACTGACACGTTATCATTCCCATTCATCCACATACGCTCTCAATTCTGCCAAATGTCTCCTCGTATAAACGCTCACCGCAATTCATCTGTACCCTATCATGCACGTCTACACACAAACAGAGAAAGTTTAATAAGTGAACTTTGTTTTAACCCTAGACTATGAAATGCCACTATGCTGCCTTCGAGTACTTTTTCCCTATGACGGTTGGCATGTATGGCTTTTTAAGTGAAATGTAAGCTTCAATGCTTGCTAAACTAATACACAATTCAATACAATTGTCTTGTATTCCACAGGATGAGATTTTTTAAAGACCGATTTTTCGGGATAAGGAATACATATCTGTCGCATACATCTCTGACAAATATTTTCGCTGCCCTTCTTGGCCCATTTCTCCATATTTCAAACTAACCGCTGATTGGTCACAGTTCTCTTGCGGAAAATGAAATTGAATAAAATTCAAACGCGACCGATCGATCGATACAAATGGCATCCCACAGACGCACAGGAATCGTTTTTAAACAGCTCATCGATGGCGGGACTTCACCATATAGGTTGAAACGAACAAGATATTGATCTCTCTGGATGTAGCCGTGTCTGGAAGAGAAGACTGTGCCAGTGAGAAGACAGATCCATAAAAAGAAAACATCAAATGGTCAATACACCAACTTCTATGGTTTCGTTCCTGTGAAATACAAACGTTACCTACAGTCCGACTCTCAGAGCGTGGGTTATTTGTATATCAGGACAATGATTATCCGGAAAAGTTTATTGACTAGAATATTCGACTCTCTCCGGAAAATGAACGCACCGTTTGTGTTCCCATTTAAGGGGAACTCACACACAAAAAAAGCCAAGTGCAGTCACTGAGAACGACTGTAAACTCCACCTTCTCTGCAGCGAAGCTTAGAACGGTGTTCTCCACATCACCCATGATGCGAATGCAAGTGAAAGACAAACTGCCCGAAACTGACCTTATCCTTTAATTGCGTCTGTGGTGCGTGTTACATAGGTCGTATGATAGGGCGTTTGTCTCAATGCGTTGATGAAAACCGGTTGTATCTCTAGCCGGATTGTAGCAGTTGAAGTACGCACCGACCACGAATTACGAATCACGAATCAGAACTCACGGAGGCCATGTAAGGAATTAAACACACTGGCTTTTGCACAACGGTATTCCACACGGCCGAGACTCAAGTGCCACGGACTAGTGAAATGATTACAATATACAGTATTATTCAGTTTGAGTGCAAAAAATGTAATAATTATAAATATTTGTAATGATCGAAACACGCACAGATCACGGTCTACGAATCAAGGATTATGAATCACGTATTAGGATTGGCGGATGCCACATAAGCACCGAATCATACTGGCACTTGCACGACGTTATCCCACGTAATCGAGATGCAAGAAAAAGGCCACAGAAGTAGCAGTTAATTTGTTGGAAGAAATCAAAGGAATTAACTACCATTTACAAAAGTAGTTAATTCGTTCTCTAGGCATCTACCAATCGCGTGCTCGTATTATTGGCGTCGTACAGCTTCTGTCTGGGTCTCATGGCCTCTGATTGGTCGACACAATCGGCCTGTGGTTCGTTGTCCAGAATTTGTAACGCGTTGTCACTTTGCTGGTATCATCTGAAAAGGTTGACTCATCATAGTTGTCCGGAGACTGTAACGTGTAGCCCTGTGGTTTGCGTCATCCCACAGTGATCGTAGGTCATCTCGTCGACTCCGGACACCCGATCAAACCAGAGAATGCCTTCGATGCTATTTATCGTTTCCCACTCAAGCGATCGAGGGTTGCCGGAGTTTGGAAACTAGGCGTGGCCGAGGTGATCGCCATTTGCTTAATTTGCCCATACCTATGCACCCGAAAACATACTGGTTTAAGCGCTCCAATTGCCTTGGACTGATGTAAAAGCCAAAACAGAACAAGACGTGTCCCTTGACCCAAGTGGGAAAGCTGACATCAACTGACACCGTAAACGTTCCTCAAAAACCACACACACAGGCACACATCCTCCACTCGCTGCCTCCGATTAATGATCTTCAATTGAGCCAATGGTTGTCATTCTGTAGGCATTCTTTCCACTGTATGCTATGTGGGAGCTTGACAAGGAATACACGGAAACAACTGTTCGCTCATTGACTGATTTTCTAAAAATTCAAATGATTCTTTGTTATTACCACCAAATAGCAAATGGACCACGGTGATCACACTGGTAGTACTATGTTAGTGAATGCAGGTTGATCGATGATTAATCAATTGGTGGATTTTTAGCTCAATCATCTGTTATGAAACCACTGATTCTCTAGAAACAATTTTTAATCTGTCCCATGAAAGTTCACTAGCATATGATGAACTGAGTTCCGCAGCGAACAGAACAGTGCTGTGCTCATAACCGACAAACTTCCGGCTGTTGACAGGAAAGTCACGTGCAACAATCGTAAATTCCCTCACTTCTTTGCCAGTCAGCCGGAGTTTCGGATGTCATGGGAGCCCTAAAGGCTAATCTGGCCCTAAACCAAACACCCAACTGGCACGCAAAAGTCTGAAAATGAGGACGAAATTTTGCGGCACCTGTTGTGTGTGTGTGTGTGTGTGTGTGTGTGTGTGTGTGTGTGTGTGTGTGT